CATTCTACCCGTTACCGACGTAAATTTTAACGCTTCCTTTGCTGTATTTTGCTTCAGCTTGACCCCGTCTGGTGCAGAGGTCTCTTTTCTATAACTTCTATTGAAGCTATTTTCATTTACAAAGTGCGAGTTTGCTGGAGGCGTGGAGAAGGTGCGACACTTCCCCTTTAAGCCTCCTTTCTCCCCTGTTCTTCGGCCACTTCTTCCGGATTCCTCGTCGACTTGGAATCCATTACAGCTATGTTCATACGGCCGGTCATTTTCGTTCGCAGTTTCATGATCGGCTTTATTACCTTTATGCTGCAGTGCAGTTCGTTGTGTTCAGGTATCTTTTCAATACGCGCGACCGCACCGTCATTGGTGAAACTGCCCAGAAAGTTCGGTACAGAAAATATAGTCAGTAGTCGCTTGTCCTTGAAAAATTCATAGCCCTTCTCAATAAGCTCATTGGACCGGATAATTTGTTGGAGTTTAAGCCGGTTGCAAAAGTCATCCACCACGGACGCGCCGTATAGGTAACCGAGACCTGCAGGATTCTGCTCCCAGGTCTTCACCTCTGGATCAGGTTCGGACCACGTGTAATGCGTCATGAGGATACTCGTATGAATCTCAGTCGGTCGGGGTGTGAGCTTCATCACGTAGTCTTTCAACTCCTGGAGATTTGACACACCCGAAAACTGCACGCTTGGTGACATACCGCTATGACAACAAAATATCTTCTCCTCCAAGATGGCTATCAAGGGTAGGAAGTCAAATGTGCCAATAAAGGTTCTCCACAATCGTCTACTAAAGCGTTTTAAGCACTCATCATAGAAGCCATAGTGACGTGATATATGCTGACACTCGTGGTTTCCTCGAAGTAGGTATATATGTTTCGGAAAACGGAGTTTGAGGCAGAATAGAAGGGCGATCGTCTCAATCGATCTAGAGCCACGGTCGACGTAATTACCAAGAAAGAGGTAACGCTGCTGAGGTGGAAATCCGAGAACCATCAGTGTACGTAGGAGATCGCC